ACTGACTTTTTTCAGGAGATGATACTTTCCATGACCAACAGAACTATTTATAAGATAAATAGTTGTAGAATAGCTCTAGTATGTAAATGGATGACATAGAGGGTTATCAGTTCCTACTTCCATTATAGTGATGAGATGATAAATTGTTATTTAATGAATCTTCTTTAAAAACCAACCTTGGGAAATTCTGCTGGAACACAGGTCTACGGTGACTACACATGCAACTCCTGTAGATTCACTCATCACGGAGTCGTGGCTTTTGATCACGGGGTTATAGCTTCCCTAATAGCATAGCAAAGTTCCAGATGTATGAACAGATGACCAATGCTGTAGAATACTTCAGAATTTTTCTTTGCAAATATTTTACAGAAGAGGAAGAATAGTAAACAGGAGAAGGTTGAGTGGCTCTCTCCAGAGTACCCAAAGCAGAAACTCCCTAGAGACCTCTTGGTTATAATCCTGATCCGGTTTCTACACACATTTTGTTTATTGAAGGACAAAGTTTTTCCCTTAAATTAGAAGTAAATGGAAGATGACAAAATGTCTAATTCATAAGACCTGGAGGATTCTATATTTTTTCATCTTTCAAGCTTAGTTTTCAAAGGCTTTTTCGTCAGACGGAAATACTATTTCTTGTTGCATATAAAACTGACTTTCTGGGGTTCCAATAACTGACTTAATAAATATGTGTTGAATGAGTCTTGTCAAGTCTCTAACCAAATTCCTGATTATCCACCATACTCTTAGAGAAAATATACTGCATAATTCCATCCTACTGGAGGTGGGGGCTTGGGGGGTATAATTACACTAATGATACCTGCCTTCTCTGTGAGTTATGAAACATTAGATATTATCCAAGCTGTGTTCCAGCTTGCCCCAGATTCTTAGCTCAAGTATTGTTCCTGGTGCTACTCAAGAGTTCACTGGTGGTACAAGAGATAGGACAGTGGTCGACACATGCAAGGCAAATGCCTTATCTCATTATTCCTGGGCTATTTCTCTGGTCTCAATCCCTTGTTTTCAGTCAGTGGGAAATACAGACTTTGAGATTTTGAATGATTCGCTCTTCTATTGCATTAGAATTCCCACCCCTGTCGAAATCTTGTCATCTCTGCTTCCTTTTAGTGGAGATCTCACAGGTGATACTCACTGGTCTTGGGGCCTCACTGGCAACTCTTGGTCAACTGTGTGGTGCTCAAGAACTGATGACTCCTCCCTTTTGAACTGTGAAACCACGACCTGATCTTGGCACTACTGAGTTCTCTAATCTCTTGGCAGCCATGTCCTTTGATCTGGCATGGCCATTGGCTGACTGGACCATGCATCTTTGCCTTCAGGTCAGAGGTCCCAAACTCCCATCTCTATTTCTTGAGGCTAGTCAGAATTCCACCTCACACTGCAGCTGCTTTGCCAGGCCAGAAGTCCCTTACCCATCCCTGGTCAATTATGCCACTGGGTCCTACATATCCCTGGGAACTGGGCTTTTGGATTCTGAGGGATCCTGTTCCCACAGGTGGCTATCAGCAGATTACTAGGCATCTTTGCAGGTTGAATCATCTTAAGGGCCACATCACATTGTGATAACCCTCTGCTTCACATCTCACAAAGTATACATGCATCCTTCTTGCGATGAACTCAGGTACTTGGGTGTAGCCGTGGGTGCCTCCAGGAACATAATGCTAATAGTAATTTATGTCTAACTCCATTCACCAATCTGAGGTCACAGGTGGTAGTGGTAATGAGTAACTGTAGAGCCCCAAATTATAGCCAACGGAGAGGAAGGACAATTGACATTTAAAACAGCACTGTAATCTACACAGAGAATTCAAAACCAGAAATATCAGACATATGTTTGTTTGGCACCCACTCAAGTAAATCAATGAATAACAGGGTATCAAGAGATCAAGTGATCAAGTGATGTTTATTTAAACATAACTGTCACTGCCACTGTCACTGTCCTCCCATTGTTCATCGATTTGCTCGAGCGGGCCCAGTAACATTCGGAGACTTATTACTGTGTTTGGCATATTGATACTTCATGGGGAGCTTGTCAGGTTTTGCCGTGTGGGTGAGATACTCTCGGTAGCTTTCCGGAATCTCCAAGAGGGGTGGAGGAATGGAACTCGGGTCGGCCATGTTGGCTGCATGCAAGGCAAACGCTCTACCCGCTGTGTTTAAACATAACAGGGAAAGAAAATATTCATTTGAATTCGTCAAAGAAAGGAGGTTGAACTACAAAGATTCAACCCCAGTTCATAACAGGCACAATGCAAAAGCCGTATAGAAACTTACCAGGCATAATGAGCAAAGATAACAGCCCCAACAGTTCTACCAGTACCAACCAGCTCTATAATATCTGAGATAACAACTTTAGAGACATCATGATGAGGATGCTTAATGAGCCCAAAGAAATAATGGTGCAGGTACAAAAAATTTAAGCATCAAAATGAGAAATCTATAATCAGAAGTGCAGAGCTGAAGAGTTCTCTAGGTGAAATAAAAAGTTCAACAGAAGGCCTCAACAGTAGAATAACAAGAGTTTGAGAAAGAATCAGTAAGCTCCAATATTAGCTTGGGAAACTTCTAATAAAGAATAAAATATAAGGGGGAAATATCAAAATAAATGAACAGCACACCGGAGTACTATAGGATGAGATCAAGAAGAACAGTATAAGAATCATAGGGGTCCCTGGGGACTAGGAAGGTGACTTAAATAAATAACTCCTATGCAAAAAAATAATAATAAAGGCATATTTTCCAGAGTTGAGCACTGCATGCACCCAGATCGAAGAGGCTCAAAAATCCCAGCAATATCAAACCCCCAAAAAACTACTCCAAGACACAATGTAATTAGATTTAAAGGTAGTCAAACACAGAGACATAACAGTAAAACCACTGGCATTCTCTTAGAATCAGCATTAAAAAATTAAATGTTCCTTAACACTTAACTAGCCTGTTTATAAAAACTGTTTGATAGTTGATGGGTAGTCAAGAAGTACCAGTATGGAAAGCAAAAGACAGATACAGAATGTTCTCTCTCATACAACACTGTAGCACTGTAGCACTGTCCTCTTGTTATTCATCGATTTGCTCAAGTGGGCCCAGTAATGTCTCCACTGTGAGACTTGTTGTTACTGTGTTTGGCATATCGAATATGTCATGAGTAGCTTGCCAGGCTTTGCCGTGTGGGCGGAATACTCTCTGTAGCTTGCCAAGGCTCTCCGAGAGGGGTGGAGGAATCAAACCTGGGTCGGCCCAGTCAGCAGCATGTAAGGCAAATGCCCTAATCGCTGTGCTATCGCTCCAGACCATCTCTCATATAATCCACTGCCATCTCCCACCAGGGTAAGCTCAGATTTGTAAACAAGTTCCCAGGCTCTGTTGTCTTTGGTCATTTGTTTTTATTTTTATCTCTCTCATATATGGGATAAAAATAAAAACAAATGACCAAAGACAACAGAACCTGAAAACTGGTCTACAAATCTGAACTTACCCTGTGGAAGATGGCAGTAGATTCAGAGGAGTAGGTTGTGTGAGGATACACTCTGGGGACTGTGACATGAAAGCATTGTATGCATGAACCCTATCATTAACATCATTGTAAATCATGGTGCCTAAAATTTTAAAAATAGAGATTTTTTCACAAAATTATATTACTAATAGTAACTATAAGAGTCTTGATATAGAAAGGCCAGAGAGATAGTACAATGGGCAGGGTTCTTGTGCATGTAGCTTACCTGGATTCAATCAGTGGCACCCCATATGGTTCCTCAAGCAACACCAGGAGTGATCCCTGAGACCTGAGCCAGAAGGAAACCCTGGGCACGACTGGGTGTACCCCTGCTCAATGGAAAAAAAGTATATATATATATATATATATATATATATATATATATATATATATATATGCACAGAGAAACTTTATACACAGAGAAACTCCAATGCGAGAAATCCTGACACTTGCTCCATTTAAAAGCAGGGAGGAATAAACTTTTACTTGAATCCCTATTGTTACAGATAATACAATGAAACTTAATAGTAAAATTACTTTCAATTTTAAACAGTGAAGTGTTTTAAAAGTGAAGGTTTTGAAAGCAAAAACTATAGAATATACTGCATACAAAGGTTCTATTTCAGTGAATTACACATGTGTTTTAGAAACTCCAATAAACACTCTTAATATCTTATAGATACAGAAGAAGGAAAGCAGATACAAAGTCTTTGATTATATATCCTACAGAAAACTGTCAAACGTAGTTATTGGACTTGAAATTTGCCTGGAGAAGGGTGTCTTTTACCCTAGCCAGTAGGAAATGTGTTCTTCTAGAAACAAGTTATCTGATCTGATTGCAGCCCCATTGTTTGTTTTTAATTAGGTGACAAAATACTTCCAAATTTTTGTTTTCTCATCTTAAATAGCTAATTTCCAAGAAAAGTGCAGTGTCTTCTATCAGCAGATCCGTCTGATATTTCAAATCAGAAGGAAGATGCTGAACTACATTAGTAACAGTTTATGACCCTGCAAAGGGTGGGAGGGGACTTGATTCATGTTGCCTTGATAGAATTTTCCTTTCTTCTTTTGGTTATACTTGCAATGCAGTCAAAACTTAATGAAGTCTCAATGAAAAGAGCCCTCTTGTTGGAAAGAACCCATACACGGGACTATTCATCCTACTGTCCCACAGGAGGAGACAAACAAGGCTGATGCCCATCTTGGCAAGTGCTTGCTGGCCAAGACCAGCCAAGGCAACCTCTGGTCAATAGTCCGGATATGTGTAGCTCAGGTGTGTCAGCATCCAAAATAGGCCCATTTTTGTATCTAGCTAGCCTAGCTTTCCAGCAACAACAGGCAACTAACCTTATGGGTATCATTTCTGCAGGAGTAGAGAAGACAGAAACGGATTTGAGCTCGGAAGCATTGCTCTGTGCATAAAGTTAACCCCTGATTAACTCTTCTGTGACTCATGGTTGGTGTCCTTTTCTGTCTTCTTTCTTCATAGAACACTTGAAGGATAAATTAGAAGAATACATGGCTCGATTTTCCAAAGTGAGGATTGTTCGCACCAAGAAGAGGGAAGGGCTAATCCGGACCCGACTCTTAGGCGCCTCTATGGCCAGAGGAGAGGTCCTGACTTTCCTGGATTCCCATTGTGAGGTCAACGTGAACTGGCTGCCCCCTCTCCTCAGTGAGTACACCTCCTCCCCTGGCCTCCTGGGGGCTGGAAAATTCCTGGGGGGAATTTCTGTCCTTCGCAAGACAAGTGGACTTTGCTGTCCTTGGCTGTCAACAAATGGCTAGAAATAATTTTGACATGGAATCCTCATGTTCTATCCTAACTACTGCTGAGGACAAATAGGGACCTGGAGAGCTGAATTAAACTGGACAATTTAGACAATACCCATGTTCAGTCTAACTTAAGGTTCTAGGGGGGTTACTCCATCTTGACCACATTTAGACTAAGTAAGTAGCCACAGGAAAGGGGGAACATTCAAAAGGACTACTTATAACTCTAAGAAGATTAAAACAGACACACAGTTTAACTATTGTTCTAGGTTTTACAATTATTGTTGTTGGCATGAGGAAAGAAAATTTTCCAGGAAGAACATACGTGAGGAGTAAACTCTCTGATATTTCTTAGAACTTTTAAAAATCAATTATGCTTCCCACTTTCCAGAACCATTCACTATTCATATATGTATCCCATATGGGCCTAGAACCTCCCCCATAATTCAGAGCTTCCATCCAGATGAGAGACACTTATATTCATAATAAGGCTACACCATAGGGAAGAAAAGAGAATTTCCCCCATTGCACCTGAACTGTTACACACAAAAAAGAATGAAAAGTTGTTCAAGTTATACGACACATGTGTGGCCCAGTATAGGCTTGAGTGCTCAGTTTTTTTATTTCTCAATGAAGTCAGCTATAAAGTCAAGTAGTAAATAAGAAAAACATCAAAAGCCTGAAAAAGAAAAAATGTGTTACTATGAAAAAGTTCTTGGTACGAACAAATTCTTTTCTTTTTTACTCTTACATATTTCACTAAATCAATTTTTATTATAAATATATATCCGTGGTCTTGAAGCTAACGTCAGTAGCAACATCCTCCGCGACAGCTGCCTTAGAAAGAATGATTTGCTATTGACTGCTGCGTAGGATTTCAGCTCGAACCAGCAAAGTTCCATTAGTAAAAGATGTTGGGGAGAACAAAAATCAATTGAAACTGTATAAGATTTAAAACAGGAAACAACCAGCAACTAACCCCCTGCCACACGCTCCTACACAGAGAACTGCCTTCACATCCAAATCAACAGGAGGGTTGAGTGCTCCTATGGCCAGCTACTCCTCTGAGCTTTTAATTAAAAGTTCCTTGTCCAAGGACAGAGCAATTAGAATTTCATCAACAACAGTGAGAGTCCCTTAAACTGTTTTTGACCTATATGGTGTCAAATACTCATAGAAGTCAGCAAAAGTCCTAACATATTTATGAACCAAAGCAATTCCTAACTGCCAATTACTGAGACTCTCATTTATATGAATCTAACGAGAGAGAGAGAGAGAGAGAGAGAGAGAGAGAGAGAGAGAGAGAGAGAGAAGGAAAAAGCAACAAATAAGGAGAAACGCACTTTTTCTCACTAAAGCGTTTCATTTCCTGTAAACCTGATAGATAAGAAATGATTCAAGCTCAACATCACTATCTTTTTTTTCCCCTCTATCAGTGTCATGACACATCATCCAAAAATGAAAAAAAACAGGCGGAGCCAGTTTCTTGGTTCATTTTTCTCCTTGGGATTATACCTGAATTTCAATTTCCCATTAAGAGTCTGTTTGTTTGATCCCTGGAAATTGAAATGTAGGCACAAGCCTTAGATGAAAAATTAGTCATGCTGCTTTCACCCTAAGCTAGTACTGCTAGATGAGAGCTGAAAAGAAATTTGAAGAGAAAGTTGACAGTTAATTTAACAGACTCATTCTCTTTGGGTCACCTTGGGACTCCTTGCTGGTCAAGAAACTTGTAAATCAACCTGATTCTGAATTTGATTGAGGAAAGTCACTGAGACCTTAATACTGAAATACCTGCAGAGGTGACAGAAAAAAAATAGTTTGGACATAGCAATGATGGTCTCCTCTGTCAAATATTTCTGTGGGGAAATACCATTCAGATAAAGATTAAACCCCACTGAAAGGCTTACCCAGGTGAAAAGACATGCTCCCAGCATCCTTTGTGGAGATTAACTTGAAATCAGGCTGGGAAGAGGGGGTCTCTCTGTTTACTTAATTAGCTGAAATACGATCAAGGTAACACCTAGGTTCTCTGCAGCTTACTGGGGCCATGTTACCTAAAGCTGCAATCCTTTCCACATGACAGCATTCTATGCTCCCCTCACCCCATTATATTTTCTTATAATCATATTTGTCACCTGTAATAGCGCTGTAGCACTGTCCTGTAGCACTATCCTCCCATTGTTCATTGATTTGCTCAAGCGGCTCCAGTAACGTCTCCACTGTGAGACTTGTTTTTGGCATATCGAATACGCCACGGGTAGCCTGCCAGGCTTTTCTGTGAGGGCAGGATACTCTCAGTAACTTTCTGGGCACTCCAAGAGGGACAGAGGAATCGAACCTGGGTAATCCACGTGCAAGTCAAATGCCCTACCCTGAGCATTTTATCACTCCAGAGCCAGTAGTAACCCCTGAGAATCACCAGGTGTGACCCCAAAAGAAATATATATATATATATATAATATAGCTTTATTGGGTTACATCCGGCAATGCACAGAGTTACTCCTGGTTCATGTACTCAGGAATTACTCCTGGAGGTACTCAGGGAACCATATGGGATACTGGGAATTGAACCCGGGTTGGCCACATGCAAGGAAAATGCTCTATCCACTGTGCTATCGCTCCAGCCCCTTATTTAATATATTGACCATCTTTGCCTCCGATTTATTATAGGGATTTGTGTGAGAGAGATTGTTGTTCTTGGTTGTAACATCAGAAACTCTAAAAAAAAGTGACAAGTATGTAGTTTCTACTCAATAAATAGTTTCTGAATTACAAGTGAGTGAATAACTAAATAAGGTTTTAGGTCTGAAGGAGAGATAGCTCACTGGATTCTGTTGTTTTTCCCAAATTGCATGTTCAGTATTTCAAAACAATGGTACTAAAATAACCGGTCATGGTCACTGTCCTCCCGTTGTTCATTGATTTGCTCAAGCGGGCCCAGTAACATCTCCATCGGGAGACTTGTTGCTGTGTTTGGCATATTGAATACATCACGAGTAGCTTGCCAGGCTTTGCTGTGAGGGCGAGATACTCTTGGTAGCTTGCTGGGCTCTCTGAGAGGGGCGGAGGAATTGAACTCAGGTCGGCTGTGTTGGCTGAGTACAAGGCAAACGCCCTACCTGCTGTGCTATCCCTCCAGCCCACTAAAATAACCAAACATCATTATTTCCAAACAATGTTATTTATTTTTAAAAGATAGTTTAATAGGTCATAGGGATAGTGCAGTGGTCTTGCATGAGAATAGCCCAGATTTCATCCCCAGCACTCCGTATGGTCCCCTGAACCTCCCAGGAGTGATTTTGACCTATATGGGTAAGCCCAAACTCAAAACAAAAAATAAATATTTAAATGTGGTTTATTCCACAGAACATAAATCAAGATTTTCCAAACATCTAGAAAGTAGTGTTTCATCAATGTTCTGCCTGCCAGTCAGTATTAGTTGGTTAGAGTAACTATTGATAAAATGCAGAGTCTCTTAGGAATAAAATACTTCATATATGGTTATTCTAGGTGAGTCGATAGATTAAAAATTTAGTCCCCTGTGCTAGCTCTTAATGCCTTGCAATAATAATAACCACATGGAAAAGGAACAAACTGATACTGAAAAAGAAATCAGCTTTCTGCTGCGTAAGAAACACCATGGCACTAGAAAGCCACAGGTTTTAGGATTGGATCTAAAATAAATACCGCGTTATATCCTCTTTCTTGCTCTCAGTGACCTTAGGCAAGTCATTTCACTTTTCTGATCTCAGTTTCCTCATATATAAATTGAGAGTGACAACTGCTACCTTACATAATTTCTAGGAATATTAGAAATAGCAGGAGTAGAACTCAGCATTTGCCAATGAATTGGATAGTAGCAAAACTAATAGCAGAAATATCAGGCTAACTGAAATATTTTGGGCATAAGATGAGAAAAGTGTAGATCTTTGCAGATTGATAGTACAGTGAATAGGGCACTTGCTTTGCATATGGTCCACCAGGGTTCAATCCCCAGCACCCCATATGTCTCCTGAACACTGCCAGGAGTAATTCTTAAGTGCAGAGCCAGGAATAACCATGATCATCACCGAGTATATCACACACACACACACACACACACACACACACACACACACAATTCTATAGTTTTGATAGGCATAGTCTATAACAAGCAAAATAGGACAGTAAAAAAATCTATGATAAGTCTGAAAACAAAGAATTCTACCAACGTGTAGGGGAGAGTGTCCACCATCATTTCAAATTTTTCAAATTAGATGCTAAAAATGCTTTGAAGTTAAATATTTATATTTTGGAACTTCCAGAAAACAGGCCACTATTTTCTCAGCAAGCTTTAGCTGCATGCTTGAAGAAACACAAGTACTGTTTATACTCCATGCATGTTGACCGGACTATAAAATGACAGATTGGGGACAGGTCAGGGTAAAACTGTGACAGAGGTAGAACTAAGTAAACTTCTGCAAGTCACTCTGGGACTTTACTTTCTTAAAGGTAAATACAATACTAATTGTGCCTAATCATTGTTCCATCATATTAAGTCTAGCATGTAAATATAGATTCTGCAAAGTGCTCGCATGAGGATTTGAAGCCAAGCTCTGCCAGCATTCTGCCTTAGGAGGGATTTGTAGCCTTCTCTGCTGGAAAAAAAATAATGTGACAGATGACCCAGGAAAACATGTCATTTTCTATTTTGTGCTTTCATTTTTCAGACCAAATTGCGCTAAACCACAAGACCATCGTGTGCCCCATGATCGATGTCATTGACCACAATCACTTTGGGTATGAGGCACAAGCTGGGGATGCCATGCGTGGAGCCTTCGACTGGGAAATGTACTACAAGAGAATCCCCATCCCTCCCGAACTCCAGAGGGCAGATCCCAGCGACCCATTCGAGTGAGTAGCCATGAGGGAGGGGCAATGGGAGAGTGCGCAGGCAACACATTCCAGAGCGTCAACTTGGCAGTCAGGAGGTTAACTCTAAGGTCTGAAATAGATGGCAACATTATGCAAAAATAGCACGAAAAGGGGCAGAGCTACAAGTCGTAGGAAACAACGTCGGTAGGAGAGTGAGTACAATAGGCAAGTTACTTGCCTTGCTTGCGGTTGACCTAGGTTCAAATCCACTGCATCCCATACAGCCCCCAGAGCCCAGACAGGAATGATTCCAGAACCGGGGGGCAGGAATAAGTCTTGAACAAAGCTGAGTGTGGCCAAAAGTAAGTAAAAGAAGAAGAAAAATTGCAAGTTTTGCCAGTAACGTGTCATTCCTCTTAAACTTTACTAAACATGAGAGAAGATGGATGGATGTGAGAATCAGGAAAGAGAGAGTTAAGAAAATACATGTTTTCCAGTCCACTGTTTTCTCTTATTTTCACTAATATTATTTTTGCTCTTCCATAAAGAGTTATTTAAAAAAGTTTTTCTCTAAGGAGGCAGTGAGGAGAGATAGTAGCCTCAAATGCTACTGAGGGAACTTTGCTTATAGTAGGTAAATTTCCAGGAGGACACTGATTATTTTTTAAGGGGGGAGTGCAGGGTAGTTGGGCAAGTAAGTTTGAGTACTTCTCATTTCAATTAATTGTTTTACTTTCACTAGAGATTCTTAAAAGGCAAAGGTAAAGGCCCTCCCATTGTTCATCGATTTGCTCGAGCGGGCCCAGTAACGTCTCCATTGGAGACTTTGTTGTTACTGTGTCTGGCATATCGAATACGTCATGGGAAGCTTGCCAAGCTCTGCCGTGTGGGCGAGATACTCTCGGTAGCTTGCCGGGCTCTCCGAGAGGGGCAGAGGAATCGAACTCGGGTCGGCCATGTTGGCTGCATGCAAGGCAAACGCCCTACCGCTGTGCTATCGCTCCAGCCCTAAAGTAGTTTTTAACCCTGTAATCTAAAGCCTGTTGGGAAATATTTTTAAAAGGGAAATAAGTATCTCTTAGCCCAAAATCCCCAAATTTCAATTTTTCTACTTGGTAAAATCAGGTAAGATAGGACCAAGAAGATCAGTCGATGAACTCCACATTGGAACCCATGGCCTGGAATGGAACGAACAGGGTGACAGACTGTCTGAGTTCATCATGTCAACCAAAACCTTCCATGGTAACTCACAATTCCAAAAGGCTGAATCTAAACGTTGGACATGGGAGTCTCCCGATGGACGGTTCCACAATGAAATAGACCACATCATATTCAATCGGCGGTTTTGCCTAACCGATGTTGCTGTTGTCCCAAAATTCCAAACGAGATCAGACCACCGTCTTCTTCATGCAAAATTCTACCTCACAGAACGAGGAGAAAAGAATGCAAGGTTTAAGAAGAGGACTCCCAGAACAACCACCAACTGGGAACTCTTTGGCTCTGTTGCGGCAACATGGGAAGATGCCGTCATTGACAACATTGATGAGGAATACGATCGAATGATTCAGCACCTCCATGATTGTGCAAGGAATGCCAAGAGAGAGATAACCACAAAAAACCGTCTTTCTTCGAACACTCTTGAACTTATTCGCCAACGTGGCGTGGCACGTGCCTCAGGCAACCACAAGCAAACGTCCGAACTGGCAAAACAGTGCAGAGAAGCCATCAAGGATGACCTCAAAAACAGGAGAGCAGCAGTACTGGTAGATGTAGCAGAAGCTGGAAAAAACATTCGTAATGCCCGCCTGTCCTTCACCAACTACAAAACCAAGATGACTGCCCTCCGACATCATGATGGATCTATCACATCTTCCAGAAGGGCAATGGAGAAGATTATTCATGACTTCTACTCAGATCTCTTTAATAGCCACATTCACTTGCCCACATACCACATACCACATGATGGATATGTCGTTCCCAATGTTCTCCCTTCCGAAATCCAACATGCCATCTCGTCGGTAAAGAAACAAAGAGCACCTGGCCCAGACAAGATCAGACCTGAACACCTGAAGAACTTACCATCAGTACTCATCAATACATTGGCTCGACTCTTCACACGCTACCTGTCTGAATGCAAGGTTCCATCCCAATGGAAAACCAGCAAGACTGTACTACTATACAAGAAAGGAGACATCCACGACATTGGCAACTATCGCCCAATCTGCCTATTGTCTGTCATCTATAAACTATTCACTCGAGTCATCCTGAATAGGATTAGCAGAACACTAGATGAAGGACAACCATGTGAACAAGCTGGATTCCGGAAAGGATTCAGTACCATCGACCATATCCACACAGTAACCAAGCTCATTGAGGTATCTCGGGAATTCAAGATGCCACTCTGTCTAACGTTCATTGATTTAAAGAAGGCCTTTGATTCTGTTGAGACGGAAGCGGTCATAGAAGTCCTAGCCAATCAGGGCGTACAAACTCAATACATCAGGATCCTTCGTGAGCTCTATTGCGGATTCACTACCAAGATCTCACCATTCTACAAAGAAGTAATCATCCATATCAAGAGAGGGGTTCGGCAGGGTGATACCATTTCACCAAAACTCTTCAGTGCCACCCTTGAGAACATCATGCGACGGCTGGAATGGGAAAACATGGGAGTGAAGATAGATGGTCGGCAACTACACCACCTCCGCTTTGCTGATGACATCGTTCTAATAACACCAAACATCAACCAAGCGGCACAAATGCTGAACGACTTTGACCGTGAATGTGGAAAGGTCGGACTACAGCTGAATCTTGCGAAGACAATGTTTATGAGAAACAGCCTTGTTCCTGACGCTCCATTCGCTCTCAACGGAACCACCATCTCCGAATGCAACAGTTATATATACCTAGGTCGAGAAATCAACATGATGAATGACCTGGCACCTGAGTTGCGCAGGAGGAAGAGAGCAGCTTGGAATGCCTTCAAGAGCATTGAAGAAATAACTAAAAGGACAAAGAACCTCCAGCTACGAGCACATCTCTTTGATTCCACTATTCTTCCTGCATTAACATATGCCTCAGAGACCTGGACCCTACGAAAACAGGATGAGAACACTATTCGGGTCTCTCAAAGAGGAATCGAAAGAACTATGCTTGGAATATCACGATTCACTCAAATGAGAGATAGAATCCGGAGTTCTGATCTTCGTCAACGCTCAAGAATCAGGGACGCTGTCTCATTTGCCAAGACATCAAAAATCAGATGGGCTGGACACGTAATGAGGTTTACAGACAACCGCTGGACTAGAGCCATTACTGATTGGATTCCACGAGACATCAAAAGATCACGTGGACGCCCACCTATAAGATGGTCAGACTTCTTCGTCAAGACCCTAAATGATCGGTTTGAGGCTCTACATGTTCCTAAAACGAACAGATACCATTGGGCTACGCTAGCACGCAACCGGGATGAATGGAGACGTTACTGGCACCCGCTCGAATAAATCGATGAATAACGGGGATTAAGTGATTAAGTGATTAAGTGATTAAAATCAGTCAAAATTATATATCCAGGACTTATCACATAATGCTGGAAATATGAACTTATAGTATTATAATATTCTAATGTTATTAGATTAATTTCAAAGTTAAATCCAGTTCTTAGAGAGATTAATTTAGTAGATTATTTTCAAAGTTAAATCCAGTTCACCTTAGAGAGAGATAATGTTGGCATAAGAATTGTGAATGCCAGGGAAAATAAAAACAAAACATGGATATGACTGGAGCTGAAAAACTACAGAACCCATTAATGTTTTGTGATCTATTTAAAAAAATTATGCCAGAAATTTCCCAAGGCATACTATTTTATCTACTCCTCATACTATATATTCTTTTGATTTCACTAAAATTATAGATATAATTTTAATTGATATATTTCTCATTATGGAATAATAGTTTCTAATAGTATTGAGTTGTACTACTGCACTGATACGTTTTCCTTTTTTCTTGTTTTTTTTTCTTTTGCGGGCAGTTTCCCAAGCATTGCTCAGAAAGTTGAGGGTCTCATCAGCAATACATGGTCACATTGTCCGTGGTTCAACATAAGGGCCTAGGGACACTGTGTAGTTTGTACTCTGTGGCACTAGGGACATCTAGGCCACTATAACTATGTTGGGTCCTCCAGGATGGCACCCAGTTATGCCCGGAGACTCTATCTGTGGCACCAGGAATAGAGCCCAGGAGATATAGCTGCCATGCATACACCCCAAATGCTGTACTATCTCCTGACCCCAATATAGTTTCTTTTTCTTTTCAATTTAGTTTCTGATATCAGAAACAAAAAACGCTCTGTGATCAAGGCTTTTGTACACTCTTTAAAATTTCACTTAAAATCAATAATGTCTGCCCATCAGTAATATGGTACATTAAGTATGTAAAAGAGAATTTTCTGCATACATCCAACACATGTTGAAGGGGGATTTCTCCACCCCAGAAAGTCATTATCCAGCTAACAGCTGCATGTCCTATAATCCAGGCCAATTCTGACATGACTTGCCCAAGGACTGCAACAGGTTTCACAGGTTAAGGATTCAAAATCACTATACACACAGCACACGCACACACACACACACACACACAGAGCATATAAAAACACACACTTGAGATGTTAATTGACAGACCTGGTTATGACATTTATTCTACTTGTGATTGACCAGCTACAGATTGGAGCTGGTTCCAAAGACACCTTCTTTGGGTTCAGTTCATTTGCTAGAGTGGCGCAGCAAATTCAAGAAAAGTTTGCTTAATAGATAAGTGGAGTGCTGCAAAATAATACAAGAAGAGGAAGATGGAAGAGATGCATGGAGTAAGGTTAGGCAAAGAGCACAGAACTTACATGCTGAGTCTGCGTGAAACCCCTGCATGCACCCACCAGCCCAGAAACTCTCCTGCCCTCTCTCTCTCCTCGAAGGTTTTTGGGAGGTGTTATGACACACTCACAATATACTGACTCCTTCACCACCATTGAACTAATCAGATGG